AAGTAGAAGTCTACTATGTATTTCATAAAATGTTCTATGTGACGCAGTACACAGTAAACAGAAAAAATAGGCGATTCACTTCCTGGACCAAAGTCATTCATTCGTTTGCAAACTAGGAGAGTCTGCTGTGTGTCAGGCGCTGGATAGAGACACAGAGACTGGAGTTGGTCCTCTTCCCTAAAAATCCTATGGTCTCATGGAGGGGAGGGGCACAGAAAGAAGCAGTTAGGATGAATGTGGTGAGAGCTATGGAGGGATCGTGAAAGAGCGGGGAGGGCGGAGTGGCTGAAGGTTTAGGACTGCCTCAGATCTTTTTTGCAAGAATGGAGTGGGTGTTGGGGGTCGGGGAGTTTACAGTACACAGTATACACCCCTCCCCAGAGCCATTAAGAGGTGGTGACGAGCTGAACCTTAAAGGATATGCCAAAGTTGACCAGATGCAAAACATCCAGAAAGGTGTTCCAGAAAGAGGGGACAAGAGCTGGAGCAGTGAGCAGCCCCGAGTGGCTCTGGTCAGGGCGCAGGAGGGGAGCGCTGGGGTGCAGGGGAACTGAGCCAGGTGACCAAAGACCCGGAAGACCGTGGGATGGCCGGCGAGCTGACTTTCATTGAGTATCTTCAGTAGTTTACTAAGAGGAAAACTGAGACGCAGAACTAGACTGGCTTAACTCGTGCTTGTCCAGGACGTGGCAGACCTCTGGGATCAGACGCCCTGTCTGTCTAGCTTCATATATTCTGCTCTGTTCCTGCTCCGTGCTGGTGCCGAGTCTGGACTTCATTCTACTGGTTAGTGGTCTTTAGACGATGTTTTTTAATGGTAAAAGCCTTTTTGCAAATATGATCTTAACCCCAAACTCCAGTATACAAAATATAAGAACAGATCAGATTGTATTTCATTAGCATAAATTTCTTCCATATTTAAATATATAACACTTAGGAGATCAGCGCATGAAGACGGTGGCTTTCTTTTCAGTAAGCTCTTTTATTTTGCAAAGATAATACAGAGACGCCCCACACCCTGTTCCCTCACTGTTAGCATCTTTCATCACCATGGCACATTTGCCATAACTAGGAAGCTGACATTGGAACATTGCTATTAACTCAAATCCATACTTTAATTGGATTTCAGCAGCTTTTCCACAAATGTTTTCTTTCTGTTCCAGGGTCCAGTCCAGGGTACCACATTGCATTTTGTTACAATGACTTTGTTTCGACAAACACTAAAACGTGAAGTCAGGAATTATGTTACATTCTCAAATGCTCAGCTTTGTGCTGCCTTGCACGCTTAGAACAAATGCTGTCTGTAAGAGAGGACATTAAGCCCTGCACTAACAAGCTGCAGGGTGAGCAGCCTGCTGCCAAAGTACAGTTGGTACAACTATCTGATAATGCACCCCAGAGAAGAATCCAAGAATGTACCCCCAACAAATTCAATTTAATCTAACTCACCTTGGACCGTCATGCAATATACCATGACCATGTGGCTTAAACAACACAGATTTTTCTTTCACAGTTCCGTAGCCTAAAAGTCTCAGATGAAGAGGGTACCAGCCAATTTGGTTCCTAGTGAGGACTCTTCCTGGCTTGGAGACAGCTGTGTCCTCACATGGCCTTTTTTGTGTGTGAGCAGGGCAGGGAGGGAGGGATGTTTCTCTCTCTCTCTCTCTCTCATTCTCTCCGCCCCCTTCCTCCTCCTTCTTTCTCTCCCTCCCTCCCTCTTTCTCTCTTTCTCCCTTTCTCTCCCTCCCTTCCTCTCTCTCTCTCCCCGCTCCTTCTTTCTCTCTTTCTCTCTCTCTCTCTCTCTCTGATCAAGGCCCCACCCTTATGACCTCATTTAACCTTGATTATCTCCTAAAGACCCCACCTCCAAATACAGTCACATTAGAGGTTAGGGCTTCAGCATGGGGATTTGGTACTCCAAATACAGTCACATTGGAGGTTAGGGCTTCAGCATGGGGATTTGGTTGGGGTCACAGTTCAGTTCATAACATATCCAAGGCTGAAATTATTTGAAATCATTACAGTTCAGTCTTGAGAGAGTATGGTATTGAAACTTCTTCCATTTTGTTCAATGTGTTTATGCAGGTCAAACTGTATTATTTTGTAAAACACTTGCTACATGCAAGAAAATGTTAAATATCTAGATCGCATTTTAATACTCATTAAAAAATGGAAGAAAATATTAGTGTCATCTGAACAGATGGTGCAAAAGCTGTCACCAGATGTTTTCAGATGGTCATTAGATTTTACGCAGGTGTTAAAAAGATACAGCATCCTTCAGAATAATGCCGGGTAATTCCATGCAGTTATTAATTGTTACTGGTGTGGGCTGCGAGTTCTAGAATTTACTTTTCCATACCAAAGGTTGTTTGCCGAAACATGGTGCAGGTACAGACGCTTCACACAGAATAAGAAACCACTGGGGAGGTTTTGCTTTTGCTGACGTAGAACCTGAACTAGATGACTTTCCCCGGGCTAGTGCATTGTTGCCTCTCTTGTCTGTTCCTTCTCAGGTACTTAGCACAGGATTGTCTGCGTGTAACATCGCACATCCGGGAAGCCTCCGCCTGTTGACTCGATGGCTGTCTGGCTGTCGATACTGCTATTAGCTTGGAAGGTGGGGTGAATGATAATGCCATTAATCCAGAAAACTACGAGAGAAGGAATAGATTTAAAGGTGGGAGGGAGAGATGAAAGGATCTTCGGGAGACCCAGGTGGAGAGCTCATTTCACCTTTGGAATTTGAGAGAAAACAGGTAACATTTTGAGATAGCTGTAAGTCATCATTTGAAAATAAATCGAAGAGAATTTTTTTTTAAATTAAAAAGGGTATACCATTGAATCAGTTAATTATGGGATGGAAAGATCAATAAAGGGAGGAAATAATTTAGGCTTAAAACACTGTAAGATGAGTGCTTGGTTGACCACAGTGTTCATCTAGGAAACCGAGATTTATGAAGCTTTCGGTGCAATTTCATTGGAGTAGTCTGTTAACGTTCCAACATGTGATTCAGTCGGTTTTGTTATTTTCAATTACTAAAGCACTGATTCAGCAGTTTTACTCTGATGAAATCTCATCACAAGTTTATACTCAGCCCCTGGGTTCTTTTATTTTCCCCAGCTTTATTGAAGAATTGTTGATAAATATAATTGTATATATTTAAATTGAACAATGTGATGATTTGCTGTACGTACACATTGGGAATTGATTGTCAAGATCAAGATAATTAACATATCTATCACCTCATGTAATTAACTCTTTTTTGTGTGTGTGGTAAGAGAACACTTAAGATTTACTCTCAGCAAATTTCAAGTACATAATATCCTATCATTAACCGTAGTCACCATGCTGTATTTTAGATCCTCAGAACTTATCCTAAAACTGAAAGTATGTGCCCTTTGACCTAAATCTTCCCATTTTCCCTCCCCTGGGCCCCTGGCAACCACCAGTCTACTCTCTGTTTCTATGAAATAGGCTTTTTTTTTTTTTTAAGATTCCACATATATGTGATACTATACAGTATTTCTTTTTCTCTGTCTAGCTTATTTCACTTAGCGTAATGCCCTTCAGGTTCATCCATGTTGTCACAAATGGCAGGGTTTCCTTCTTTTTTATGGCTGAATAATATTCCATTGTGTGCGTGTATGTATCTCACAATTTTTAATCTATTCATTCGTCGACAGACACTTAGGTTGTTTCCATGTCTTGGCTATTGTGAATAACACTGTAATGAACGTGGAGATGCACATATCTCTTCGAAATACTGATTCCATTTCCTTCGAATATACACCTAGAAGCGGGATTGCTGGACCACATGGTACTTCTATTTTTCATTTTTGAGCAGGCTCCATACTGTTTTCCATAATGGCTGCACCAATTTACATTCCCACCAATAACGTACAAGGGTTCCCTTTCCTCCACACGCTTGCCAACATTTGTTATCTCTTGTCTTTTTGATCATAGCCATCATAACAGATGTGAAGTGGTGTAGAAATTGAGAAAGCAGTTCCACTTAATAACAGCATCGAAAACAATAAAATGCTTAGGAATAAATTTAACCAAGGAGACGAAAGACCTATACACTGAAAACTATAAGACATTGATGAAAGAAATTGACAAAGGCACAAATAAATGGAAAGATATCCTGTTCTTGATTGGAAAAATTAATACTGTTAAAATGTCCATGCTACCCAAAGTCATCTACAGATTCAGTGTAATCCCTATTAAAATGCCAATAGAATTTTTTACAAAAATAGAGAAAAACTATCCTAAAATTCACAGGAACCACAAAAGACCCTGCAATCTTGATAGGCAAAGCATTCTTGAGAAAGAACAATGCTGGAGGCATTACATGTCTGATTTCCAAATATATTACAAAGCTATAATAATCAAAGCAGCATGGTATTAGCATAAAAACAGACACATAGACAAATGGAACAGAATAGAGAGCTCAAATATAAACCCCTGTACATATGGTCAACTAATCTTTGACAGGGGTGCCAAATGGGGAAAGAACAGTTTCTTCAATAAATGGTACTGGGAAAATGGGACGGACATATACAAAAGAATAAAACTGGACCCCTAACTTATATCACGCATAAAAATTAAAAAGAGACTTAAACATAAGACTGTGGGTTCTTAAGTGTACAGTTCAACTGGAATAGTTATATCCAAGAGTAGAAGTCATTCTTGAGTGTAGAGCTTCAGTCTTAGTATATAGTCCAATTAGTTGTTTTCGTTACTATCATGCATTTTTCCCTCTATTACCAATTCTCCTTACCTTTCCGGTTTACATTTCCATTTGACTCTAGAGGCTCATGGAAAAGTGTCAGATAGTGTGGTCTTTCTGAGTCTTCAGGGAAAAGAGCTGCCTCCATCTTCTGCTTGCTCTGGACATGCAAGCTGTTCACCAGAACTCTGCCCTCTGGGCTGCTTCTAAGCCATGGGAAACTCCTGTGGGTTGGATCAAGGTGCTCATTGGCCTGTTGTCTGTTTGCAGGTGGTCCCCATGCTTCCCAGGCCACTGTGTGAAGAGCTATGCAGCCTCAACCCCATGACCGACAAACTGACCTTCTCTGTGATCTGGACGCTGACTCCGGAGGGCAAGGTACCAACTTAACTTGTGCCCACTCCATTCGGCAAGGCCCTGTTAAGCCCCTGCTGTGTGCCTGGCATTGGGCTGGAGTCCCGTGGCGGGGGAGGATGAGAGTGGTACCACGGGGGTGGTGCCAGCTCATCTAAGAGGCAAGACTGATTTAGAAACAAGTTACTTGTTTCTTGTCTATTATCAGATGAAGGAAGAAATTGTGCAGAGTCATGTGGGGCGGGACAGTGCAGGAGTCTGGGTGTGAGTGACGAGGAATGTGATTGGCAGTGGCAGGAGGAGCAGCCTGAGCTTCAGCGGGGACAGCAGGCCCTGTTTGAAGGAGGACATTCAGGGGAAGGATGGCGAGTATGAGTAGGTGGGGTTGGGGCAAACTCCTGGGAGCCGCAAGTGAATTGTAGATGAAGTGTCATGAGAAAGATGACATTTAGAAAGATTGGTGCTGCATCTTCGTGCAGGATGACCCGGCACGAGGCAGTGCCGTAATCAAGGCTCAAGGTGATGAAACCACAGGGTGAGCACAGAGAGGAGAAGAATGTCAACAGGCATTCCCTAAATAGAGGGACTAAAGGAGATGAATGAATGAAAGCCGACTCTAGGAAAAACTAGTCCCCTCCCCCAAACAGAAACAACTCTAAACATTCAAAAACAGGGCAATGATCCAGTAAGCTATGGAGCTGACTCAGTGGAACGTTATGCAGTTACAAAAGCTGTCACAAAGACCATGTAAGAACATGGGAAACGTTTATGCTTAAAATTAAATGAAAGTGAAAAAAAAAGATATTTAATTATAAAGAGGTTCCAAATAAAGATGAAGGATCAAATACCCACATTTGCTTTCATTCCCTCCCAAAACCTCACTAAAGCAACAGTGAAGAGATTTTTTTAAAAAAAGACATAAACCCACAAAGACAAAGAGAATGGGAGAGGAGACAACGGCAACAGAATTTTGGAAGCTGGGGAGCAGATGGATGAGTGGTAACTGACTTAGCAGTCCTGGGAAAGTTAAATCCTGGGCCAACAGACAAGAACGCCAAGAAACAACCCAGTTTACACAGCAGAACCCTAACGAAACTCAGAAACCTGGTAACTCTGTGAAGTAGGGGAGAGGTGGGTGAAGAGAGGACTAACTCTATCGATTGAAAGTTTATTTTAAAAGATTGCCCTTCCCACAGCTTAGAAGAAGACCAGAAATTTATTCTCCGGACAAGATAAAGGATGTCTGAACCAGCGGACAACAAACACACTTGGTGGTGGTGGTCCCTCGGGGAGGCTGAGTGCATGTTGGCATAGCAAACGTTGAGTCCCAGCTTTCTCTTCCCAGCCAAGCCCAGAATCCTGGTAGCCAAGCCTATAACCCTGAGTCAGGAAATGGGAAAATCCTTCTCTGAGGAATCTGAATAGTGAAGAAGATTTAAAGAGAATAACCTCCAGCGTTTCCGAACCAGCGGCCCAGCTGTATCTCTGTACAGCAAAGCTTACAATCAGCTCCATTCACGCAGCAGAGCTTGTTAGGATCTCACTAAAAATCGACCTTTTAGTATTTCACTTTCATATATGAAGAGACAACCAAGAGGGAAGCCTCTAGCATGATGTAGGAAACCAAAGCAAACGAACAGAAAAAAGCAACTAGGACAGAACAGACTGTAGAGGGAAAAGGAACTATTATTTATGTCCTCAGGGAATTGTTCTTAAAAGAAAATATCTGTATCACAAGATCTGGACACTTTAGAATAGAAACATTCAGAGGAGGAAAAAGAGCTCTTAGAAATTACAAACATCATAGAAGAAATAAAGAAGATTCAAACTTTGGGTTGCCAAATAGGGTTGAATTGTCCCAGAAAGAGATAGAAAGTGTAAGAAAATTATAGACCTGTCCACGATATCCACTATTTGCTCAATAAATAATTCAGAAACAGAAAACCAAGAAAACAGGAGGGAGAGAAATAATTCAAGGAAATGACCCATTACTGGAGGATGTGACTTTTCCGATTGAAAGGGCGCACTACCCAGCACTGTGGTGGAGACACATCATAACATTTCGGAACACCAAGGACACAGAAATGACCCTATGGACGTCCTAGAGCGGGGAAAAAAGTCGCATCCAGAAGATCAGAACTCAAAATAACTTAAGACTTTTCTGTCATAACCCTAGAAGCTAGATAACAGTGAAGCAAAGCTTTCTAATTTCTGAAAGACTATTTCTGTGCTAAAATTCTGTACCCAGCTAAGCTATCAATAAAATGTGAGAGCAGCAAAGGACATTTGCAGACATGCAAGTCCTCAAAAATATGTACCTCTCATATAACTTTTCTCAAGAAACTACCAGAAGGTGTGTTTCACCAGAATTAAGGAGTAAATCAGGAGGAAGACATGAGATTCAGGAAACAAATAAACCAAATCACACAAGAAAGAAGTGAAAGAATCCTAGATCACGAGTCGGCAGACTTTTCCTGTAGAGGACCAAATGGTAAATGCTTTCAGCTTTATAGGCCATTCGGTCTCACTCACAACTGCTCAAGTTTGCCATTGTAGCAGGAAAGACAATACATCCATGAGTAAGCATGGCTGTGTTCCAGTAAAACTTTCCTTAAAAATACGTGGTAGGCTAGATTTGGCCCACAGGCCTTAGTTTGCTGGCACCTGGCCTAGGTGATGGCGAAGAAAGTTGCTAGGGTACCAGCTCAACACGATATAGAAGGCAGCTGATCCAAATGGGAGCAGGTCAGAAGGCTCTAGGAGAGACGTCTTTGAGAGAATAAAAGTTAAAACATCCATGTGTTGAATTTCTTGAGAGATGATTTAGACCAGCCATTATAAAACTCTTTGGCCTCAGGTCCTGTTACACTAAACTATTATTGAGGACCACAAAGAGCTTTTCTTATTGTGGATTTTGAAATTAAAACTGATTCAATTTTAAACATTTACATATTCTAATTAAGATAATAATAAATCCGATTCGTTATATGATAACATGAATAACAATTTATGAAAAATAACTATATTCTCTAAAACAAAATCAGGAGAGAAGCTCGTTTTCTTTTTCGTAAATCTCACGTCTGTCTCAGAGAAGATGTTAAACTGGGTTCTCATAGATGCTTCTATATTCAGTCTGTTGGGGTAAGTTCATTTGGTTGAAGCATGTGAAGAAAATCTGGCTTCAGACAGATATGTAATTAGAAAAGAAAGGAGCGTTTTAATAGCTTTTTCAGATAGTTGTGGACATTGTCGTACATCCTCATACAACACCGGAATTCGACAGTAGTTTCTTAAAAGTTTATTGCAGTCTAGAATCTGAAACCATATCTGCTATGGACTGCTTCGTGTCTCCCCCTGCCCCGAACTCACATGTCGAAGCCCTGAACTCCAGTATGACTGTGTTCCGAGGTGGGGCCTCAGGGATATAATTAAGGTTAAAAGAGGCCATGAAGGTGGGGCGCTGATCTGATGGGATCAGTATCCTTATAAGAAGAGACCAGAGAGCTTGCTTTGCTCTCTCTCCCTGCCACGTGAGGACACCGTGAGAAGGTGACCATCGGCAAGCCGGGAAGAGAGCACTCATCGGGAGCGGAATTGGCCGGCACCTTGACCTTGGACTCCCAGCCTCCAGACACCTTGGAAATCAATGGCTGTTGTTTAACCCACCCAGTCTGTGGTGTGTGGTTATGGCGGCCCTTGCCGATGAATACAGTACCAGTTGGACTCTTTTTACTGTGTTACATTAAAAAGGATTGGTCTATTTACACTTTGAATGGATCTTTTAGCCATGCAGGAATTTTTATCATGTATTTAGAAATTTAGATCACCTAGAAAATATTGGCTTATTATGCTATTCTTCTACATGTGGACATATCTCATTAATGATATCAGGAAGGCACATTTGTCAACACCACTACCAATCTTAGACAAGGCTTTAACTGTTAGGAAATGCTGACATGTGTATTATGTGTCAGATACGAGGTTCCAGAATTCTGATTTTTTGTGAAACCTCGAATTTTATCATTGGCAATAAATGATGTCAGTTGTTTTCCATGAAATGCCAAATAACCATAGTTCACGTGTCAGTTGTTCCTCCAAGTATAAATGGTGTTCCGTTAAAAAAAATTAAAAAGCCATCAGTTCAGCTCACGACTCAGTTATCTGAATGCTTTTCCTCCAGATAACCATCATACTTCAGCATGCAGCATAAGTGCAAAACACGAGTACTCAAGGGTTGAGACAATAACGTTAGTAACTTTTACTGTTTCATCGAAAACATCCTCAAGCGAACTGGCTTTTTTCCCTGCGATCTGAGGTGCCGAGGGGGGGCCCCGGCCGCTGTGCCCGTCATCGCCGTTGCCTCGTTCACGCCAAGGCGGCGGCAGCTTTCCACATCCGTGCTCGCGTTCCGTCGCTGTAAATGTCAGCACACAGAGAAGGGCCCATGCTGCCGTAGCATTGTTATGAAAGTAGCTTTGGCCTCGTTGGTCCCTGAAAGGGCCTCAGGGTCCCCCAGGAGTCCACACTTTGAGAACCACCGTTTTAGGCAGTTGGCGGAAAGTTTGGGGTGGAGTGATGCACAGAGTATACAGGAAAACCAAGCAAATTCAAAAAAGCCAGTTATATTAATTCCAGTGAAAACAGAAGTTATGTAGGAAAGAAAAGGAACAGTATTTATGTAACCATAATAATTCATTCCGACAGTTTATGATGTAACTTTATTGGGAGGATGAGGGGCTGGAGTGGTGATGTAGGTTTGATTGGGGGAAGGGAGTATATGTGGAAAGAAAAATGAATTCTCTTCTTCTATAGTGAAAAGTTTGTGAATAATGCTTAAAATGGAAAAATCAAGAAGTAGCAGTCGAGCAGGTTATATAGAATTATGGAAGTAATATCAGAATAATCTGATCTGCTAAAACAGGTGCAAGCGATCGCCCTTTGGGAGGGCTAGGGAGACAGAGGGACAGGGCTGCTGCTTTTTATAACAAGTCTTTAAAACTTTTTGACTGTGTGAACTACTTCAT